CCATGCTTTATATTACATCCCCTTGACCTGTTATGCTCCATAAATACTGACTTCAAATCCTGCTCTTGGAGGAAAACGCCTTTGTTAAAAATACTGGCTCATCACCATGGAGACTCGTTTTCAGTTGCTGATCCCTTTTTAGCAGAATAAGCTGCTCTCTTTGCTGTGCACCACCCTGTGGAAAAATAATGAGCTACGCTGGTGTAATTGGCGTACTGTAACAGTGGTTTGCACCAGAATTCTTGGGTAAGAATTCTTGCTCTGCCACCTAGTAGCTGTGAGGCTGTGGGAAAACTACTTTACCTCGCTGGGGCACACTTTCCTTCGTAAATGGGCATAACCTACCAACCTCATTGTGCTTGGTATGCGAGTAAGTATATGGAGCGACTAATGTGATGTCCTTGTATATCACAGTTTGAGGGCATTGTCAAATATGACTAGACTGCTAGATAAAACTAATCATAATAACAAGTATTGGTAATATTATTAATAAGATAGTAATAGCTAGCATTTACTGAATACCTATGTGTACCTACCTGTAGCAGGCACCGTGGTATGTTCTTTATCTGAACCATTTCATTTAATCCTTTTCATTGAAGAACTTTTATGCTCAACTCACAGGTGAGGGAACTAAGACTCTGAAGTAACTGATTTCTCCTGAGTTAAATCTCTAACAAGGCAGAGATTGATATCAATTCCAAGTTTGATATTATAACATGTCATCTTAACTGTTCTAAGATGCTTGTAAGATGCACGAGTCTCTATGGTGGTGAGCCAATATTTTTAACAAAGGCGTTTTCCTCCAAGAGCAGGATTTGAAGTCAGTATTTATGGAGCATAACAAGTCATGGGGATGTAATATAAAGCATGGTCACTACAGTAAATAATACTGTATCACATTCAGTGTTTGAAAGTAGTTTCAAGCAAGCATCTTAGAACAGTTAAGATGACATGTTATAATATCAGACTTGGAATTGATATCAATCTTTGCCTTGTCAGAGATTTAACTAGGCAGAGAGATTTAACTGAGATTTAACTAGAGGATTGGGTAAGGAAATAATGTTTTTAGGTAGAAGACAACAGGTGTGTTCACGTTTGTAGGGGTGTATGGGTGTGCATGAATTACACACAAAAGGAGCAGGAGGAAGGAGTATGATAGAGTCAGGGTAATTGTCTTCAAATTGTTTAATAGTTGTCAGGGAAAGGAATTCTATACTTTTCCCCAAATGACTCCAGATGTTGTAATATTTAGGGAGATAAAAATTTTGCCTATTTATGGGCAAAATAATGATCTAATAGGTGGAATTGCTCAAATATGAAGCAATCTTCTTTTGAAAATAAAAAAATATTCATTATTACAGTTTTTTAAACAGTGTCTGCCAGTACTTGTTATAGCTAATGTAGAGATCGTGTCTCACTGAGAGGGGTAATTAAAGTATTTTCTAATCACAGGTGTCAATATGTCTCCAATAAATTTCAAAATGCAATAATTTCTCTGGACCACAGTAGGTTTTATGAAGGAAGCAATCATTCTGCTAGACTTGTGCAGTAGATAGTACACTTTTGATGACAATTGTAAAATATAAACTGGTTTAAGAAAAATGTTAATTGTAAGGATTAGGAGGTGTCTCATGAAATTCTCAGGCAGGGAAAATTAGGGTTTGGAACATCATGTGTCTCTTCTCTTGATCCCAGGTACAGATGATGTTCTTTCTTCTCCTCGTGTCTGCAAAACAGCTTTCTCTCTATCCCTCTGGCCAAGAAGTAAGCAGAGTAGCTGTCCATCCAGTTGTTTCTGACCTGACATGTCATAGATACTGCAGTTCTGACAACGAGAGGAATTGTACCTTTTATTCTAATTCCAATGTATTTTAGGTGATGCATTTTTTATTGAGGTAAAATTCTCATACTATAAAATTAACCATTTAAAAATTATTTAATTATTGTTCAAGTACAGTTTTCTGTTTTTTACTCCCATCCCAGCCCACCCCCCTCTGTGTTCCCCATCTCCCTCCCATTTCCACCCTCCTTAGTTGTTGTCCATGTGTCCTTTATACTAGTTCCTATAAATCTTTCCCCCTTTCCCCCTGAAATTCCCTCCTCTCTCCCCTCTGGTTACTGTCCCCTTGTTCTCTATCTCAGTGTCTGTGTTTTTTATTTTGCTTGCTTGTTTGTTTTGTTGTTTAGCTTCCTGTTAAAGGTGAGATCATATGGTATTTGTTTTTTACCACCTGGCTTATTTCACTCAACATAATGCTTTCCAGTTCCATCCATGCTGTTGCAAAGGGTAGGAGCTCCTCTTTCTTTCTGCTGCATAGAATTCCATCGTGTATATGTACCATAATTTTTTGATCCATTCATTTACTGACGGGCACCTAGGTTGCTTCCAACTTTTGGCTATTGTAAATTGTGCTGCTATGAACATTGAGGTGCATAGATGCTTTTGGATTGGTGTTTTAGGGTTCTTAGGATATAATCCCAGCAGTGGAATTGCTGGATCAAAAGGCAGGTCCATTTTTAGTTTTTTTAGAAAATTCCATACTGTTTTCCACAGTGGTTGTACCAGTCTGCAATCCCACCGACAATGGATTAAGGTCCCCTCTTCTCCACAACCTCTCCAACACTTGTTGTTTGTTGCTTTGTTTATGATGGCCATTCTGACAAGTGTAAAGTGGTATCTCATTGTGGTTTTAATTTGCCGTAATACCATTGAAGTCCTAGAGGAGAACATTGGCAGGAAAATCTCAGATATTTCACACAGCAACTTTTTTACTGATATGTCCCCCAGAGCAAGGGACATAAAGTAAGGAATAAACAAATGGGATCTCATCAAAATTAAAAGCCTTTGCACAGCTAAAGAAAACAGTATTAAAATAAAAAGAGATCCAATTGTATGGGAAAACATATTTGCCAATGATACCTCAGACAAGGGTTTAATCTCCAAAATATACCAAGAACTTACACGACTCCACTCTAAGAAGACAAGCAACCCAATTAAAAAAGTGGGCAAAGGACGTGAACAGACATTTCTCCAAGGAGGACATACAGAAGATCCAGGGACACATGAAAAGATGCTCAATATCACTAACTATCAGAGAGAAAAAAATTAACCATTTTAAACTGTGCAGTTCCATGGCATTTAATATATTCACAATGTCATGAAACCATTGCCCTATTTTAGTGCCAAAACATTTTTATGAGCTCCACAGTAAATCCCTTACCCATTAAGCAGCCCCTGCGCCCCTCTCTGCCCCTGGCCATGGCAATTACTGGTCTGCTTTCTGTCTCTGTACATTTGCCCATCCTGAGTATTTTACATAAATGGAATAATCCAATATGTCAGCTTTTGTGTCTAGCTTCTTTCACTTTGCAAAATGTTTTTGAGGTTCACACACATCATGTTAAGTGTCAGTGCTCCATTCCTTTCTATGGCCAAATAATTTCCATTATATAAATGTATTACTGTTAATTTATCCATTCAGTCATTGGTAGGCGTTATTTCTGCTTTGTGGCTATTGTGAATAGGGCTACAGTTTTTGTTTGTAGTTCTTTTGAGAATATTCTAGGAGTGAAATTACTGGGTCACATGTAATTCTGTAATGTTCTGAGGAATAGCCAAACTGTTTTCCACAATGGCTGCACCATTTTACACTCCTACTAGCAAGGTACAGGGTTTGAATTTCTCCATGCCCTTGGCAAAACTTATTTTCTTTATTTTTTAAAAGAAATTATAGCCATCCTAATAGGTATAAATGGTATCTTGTGGTTTTAATTTGTATTACCCTAATGATTAATGATGTCAAACATCTTATTTACCTACACTTTTTATTGAGATGTTATTGACATACATCACTATATAATTTTAAGCATAATGGTTTGACTTACATATATTGTGACATGATTACTGCTGTGAGTTTAGCTAGCAACTGTCATCTCATACACACATAATAAAAAGAGAAATCAAAAAGAGAAAGAAAAAAATGTTCTCTCATGAGAACTCTTAAGATTTACTTTCTTAGCAGCTTCCATATGTACCATGTTAGCGGTAGTCATCATGCTGTATATTATGTCCCTAGTACTTACCCACTTTGTAACTGGAAGCTTGCACCTTTGACCGCCTTTCTTTCTCCAGTACCTCCTACCCCTACACCCCACTTCTAGTAACCACAAATCTGATACCTTTAGATTCTACATGTAAATGATATCACACAGTATTTGTCTTTCTCTGACTTATTTCACTTAGCATAATGCCTTCAAGACCCATCCTTGTAGCAAATGGCAGGATTTCAAAATTTTTTGTGACCAAATAATATTCCAGTGCTGTATATACCACAACTTCTTTATCTACTCATCCATTACTAAGCACTTGGGTTGTTTCCATGTGTTCATTATTGTAAATAACACTGCTATAAACATGAAGGTGCATATATCTTGTTGAATTAGTGTTTTCATTTCCTTTGCAATGTATTTCAAATTGCTAGATCATATGCTTGTTCTATTTTTAATTTTTCTAGGATCCCCCATACTGTTTTCTATATTGTCTGCACTAATTTACATTTCCACCAACAGCAAGCAAGCTGTTGTACTTGCTGGCCATTTATACATATATTTACTTTGGAGAAATACCTATTTATTCAAGTTTGTTGCCCATTTAAAAAAATTTGGTTGCTTATCTTTTTGTTGTTGAGTCATAATATTTACATATTCTGGATAATAGTCTTATCAGAGAGCATCGATTCTCACTATTTACAGATTCTATATTTTCAAATTTGCCTACTTGGTAAAATTCATTTAAAACCCCCAAATCAGTACAGTTTTGTGGTCACTTGAAGACAAGCAGAGCTGTGAACAATGTAGTTGCTGAAGGAGCACATTCCCAAATGTCACTTTGTCTTCTTATTGCAGATCTCCTGCCCAGGTGAGCAGAGGACGGTGGTGGCAGGGGCAGAGCAGTGCATTAGGAGAAGCTCCATGGTCCAGCCGGATGAGGTCCAAATCCTAACTGTGGTACCTAACTGTTAGTAGGATGGACTCAGCTATGAGTCACTTCTCTCTTCAGAACCTTCTTTTCTCTTCATAAAACAAAGAAGATAGAATCTGCCAGCATGAACTGGTTTTTAGAATTTAATAATATAATCTATGTGATTATATCTCTTCTTTCCTTTTCTCTCTTTATATAATATATATGATATATATGCATATATCATATATAGGATATATATGATATATGTGTATGGTATATATGTATATATATACATATATGTGGGCAATGTTTTAGTTTTATATATAGATTACATTATATATATATATATATATATATATATATATATATATATATATATACATGGGCAATATTTTAGTTTTTTCTAACCCACTATTTGCCCTGACTTTTAGAATGTAAATGCCACCAATAATGAGACTAGACTATAATTTGTAAATATTTCTTTCATTTGGTCAATTGTCTTTCCATTTTCTTGATGGTATCTTTTGATACATAAAAGTTTTTAATTTTGATGAAGTACAATATGTCTTTCTTTTCTTTTGTGACTTGTGCCCCTAATTCTAACTGTTGAGGAGATGTGACCTTGCTTAGTTCAATCATACATGAAACAAGTATGCATACATGTGTGGAGTCCCATTTATTGATAAACACTGCAGCAGTACTTAGGAGAGCAAGAATGAACAGATAATGAAGGGCAGAGTTGAGAATCAAACTCATCTCCATGTTAAAACTGTAGCCATGACTGCTCTCATTATGCTGGAAAGGGTCACTGTGGTGAACTAAATAAAGACACCTGGAGGGTGATCAGCTTCCTCTCAAAGAGTTCTTAGCATTTAAGTAAAGGGGACAAAGAAAAGCTTTTTCTTTGCAGGGCATTTATGTTTGTAGAGGATGTGTTCAAAGAGAACAGATCAGTACAAATAAGAAATGACAAACCCTCATCGTTTCACTACCTTAGCTAGCTTCTTCATTCCCTGCATCTCCTACCCACTGCCTTAGGCCTTGCTCGACATTGCTAATGTTTAACGGGGTTGGCTGTTGTGATCACTAATTTTGGACACAAGAGGGTGCTAAAAGATATCTGTTCCGGCTCTTTAGGCTCAGGTGTAGAAAATCCCCGTTTTCTTCCATTAATGCCGTCTCCATTTGTGGAAAGGAACTTAGATTACAAAACTCAGGAAAATCTTAATGGAAATAATGAAAACACAGCCTAATATACAAATATTTAGGTTTCAAGATGAAATGAAGTTAGTCCCAGAATTGTTGATGATTTGGTACCGTTTTAGGTGCATGTGGCAGAATTTCAGAATGAGAAAGACCATTTGAGAGCATCTCCTTTCCTCCCCTTCTGCTCCACTCCTTCCTCACCTACCTACTTCCTTCCTGGGACTGGGCTAAATGCAGTCTTTTCAGCTTGGAAAACAAAAATATAAGCAAAGCTGTTCTTCTTGAAATGGAGGTAGGAGGCCGAGACCGAGTCTCTGACCTCACCTTTGTACCAGGGCAGGCCCAGAGGCATGTCTGGGTAAGCCCAGGGTACCACAGTAAAGATTTTAAAAAGTCCTTGCTGAAAGTCAGGTGGTTGACAAACTACATCCCTGGATAAAACCCTGCCTGCTGCTTGCTGCAGCCTGCAGGCTAAACAGTTTTTGTATTTTAAATGGGTGTGAAGAAATCAAAAGAAGACTATTTTATGACATGTGAAAATGATAGGAAATTTAGTCTTAGTATTTCTTTTTTTAAATTTTATTTATTTTTCAAGTACAGTTTTCTGTCTATTACTCCCAGTTTTAGTGTTTCTCAATAAAGTGTTATTGGAACATAGCAATGTTCATTCATATATTTAGTCAATCCTGCTAAATATTACCTATGACTGTTGCAAAAAACTCTGTATTTCATTTTTTTAAAATATCTACAAAATTATACAAGGTAATAATTACAATAATGTTAGATTTTTAACAGTATGTATAACAAGAATAGTACAACAAGGCAAAAGAAGGAATAGAGCTTATAGAAATAACATTTCTATATCTCATATCAATAATAGTGTAAATCTGAAGTAGATTGTGATAAATTAAAATGTATAGAATAACCCCTAGAGCAACCAATTTAAATTTTTTAAAGTAAAAAATTAATAAAAGGATTAAAATGTTACATTAGGAAATATTCACTCAATGCAAAAGAAAGTAGTAAAGGAAGAATAGAAAAACAAAAAATAAAAGATATATAGATTTTAAAAAAGCAAAATGGCAGGCAGTTGTAAATCCAACTCTGTGTAACATCAAAGGTGAATGGCTTAAGTGAGTCAGTCTAAAGACAGAAAATTTACCCATTCAGACTGGGTTAAAAACCAAGATCCAACTATATTCTGCCTAGAGGAGACATACTTTAAATTCAGAAATATAAATAGGGTAAACTGAAAGGGCAGGAAAAGATACATTATGCAAACAGCAACAACCATAAGAAAGCTGGAGTGGTTAATACTAAGATCAGGCAAATTAGTCTTTAAAGCAGAGAAAGTACAGATTGGAAAGCCTAAAATATTTACTCTCTGTCTGTTTACAGGAAAGTCTGCTGGTGCCTGCTTTAGATACTTATCATGACTTACTGGGATGAAGCAAAACATATGCACTAAAAATCTAATGATTTGAGAGCTTTTATTTGTGGCATATTTTATACTATACATAATATATCAGAGCAGTTCATATATATATATGGACTGTCTAATGATGGACTGCTCTTGTAGAGAGATGTGTGTATGATGCCAGGCTTCATCACTTACTACATAGATGACCCTGGGAAATATTGTTCTGAAGAGAAATAATATTTTGCAATACTCTTTATGTAGCTCCTTTCCCCACCTTTCCTGAATACTTTTGTACAGCATGCTTTCACTGCCAACCTCTACCTCTAGGATTTTGAAATTTAAGGCTGAGACAGTAGTATGAGAAAATAGGTTTTGAGTCTGGTTTTTAGAATCAAAGGCCAGAGCATCTGGAAGGAAGTAGACCATGAAGTATGTGTTAAAACAATATGAATAAAAGTCATACTGTACCACCCCCTAAGACTAAAAAAATTCCATGGATTAGAGGTGTGGAGGAAACACAATGTTGAGTGAGGAGGTTGGTGGGGCCCAGGCTCAGTGTGCCTGAAGGAACCTGAGCAAGAGCAACAAAATCAGCACTAAGACTCATTAGCTACCAACAGGGAAACAGCATCCATCATGAGGTGGGAGTCAGGTTATTAATGAAGATCATGGTATCACATTAGCCATGTGGGTCAGAGTTGCATATCATCCATGCCATAGAGCTAACTTAGCTGTCCTTATGATGTCCTGTGAAGACCTCCAGCTGAGCCATCAGCAGAGTGCTGCTCATGTCCTGTGAGAATTACAGCTCTTTGGGGCCCAACTTTTGCTCAGCTCCATCTAACTTGTCCTGTGTGGAAACAACTTTTATTCACCAGGTATGTCATAAGGCCTCTGAGATGACAGGAGGTCATGTGAACACACACAAGAGGAGTGATCATATGGGAGGGAAGCCTCACCCCCCATGTTTTGGTAGGAATGAAGGAATGGAACTGGTGTGAGATCCAGTCTGCTCCACCCCTGTTGCACTCAAAGCAGCAATTGCACTTACACATTAACCATTTTTTTATCCTTTGCATCCAATTCCAGTTAACTCTTCCAGATAGTTTTCTCTTATAGATTATAGCATTAATAAGTTTTCTCTGAAGTTAAATGACATAATGTGTAAAATAGAGGAGCATGTTGATTATTGTCTTAGGATGTGTTCAGTAAATGGAAGCTGTTCTTACTGTTCAAGAGAGAATGATCTCATAATCCCTTTAGGAATGATTGTGAAACTGGATGACTACTTGGTATTTGTGGTGAAGAATATTAAATTTTCTGAATGTGAAGTGGTCTCAGTGAGTGATTTGTTAGTTATGATTGAGTGCTTTTTCACCATGCTCTTCATGGGCTAGTACAAGCTAGCTATATCCAAATAGCCTGGAGTAGTTTTAGAAAACACAGAAGTCTGGGCCCAAATCCAGACCTTTTGATTTAGTATATCTAGAGAAGGGTTCCAGGTTATTTGTTATTAACAATTTGCCTCCTTCCAGAGGCTCTACAAGAAGATTCCTTTTTCTGCCTTTGCCAACTTCTAGAGGCCACTTGCATTCTGGTCCATGGTTTGGCATCACTCCAACTTGTGTTTCCATTGTCACATCTCACTTTCTGGCTCTGACCCTCTGCCTCCCTCTTATAAGGACCCTTGCAATATGTTGAGCCCTCCAGGACAACTTATTGTGGTCTTCTCATCTCAAGATTATTCATTTAATCACATCCGCAAAGTCTCTTTTGCCATATGAAGTTAACATATTCACAGATTAGGACTGTAAAATACACAGAGAAAGATGATTCCATTTATTTCTACCTAAATCCATGTATGAGCTTTTTCTTCTATGTCTCCATCTCTCTAAGTGCCCATTTTTTTGGTGCATAGGGTACCCTAAGAGGCTCATGAAGAATGGAAAATTCTAGGGTAAGATGAATGGGAACAGAACAAGCCTAAGAATGAGGCTATGAATAGCTATCACTCCTGCTAGATGACCAGTGGGCTAGGTGCTTACGTCTTTCAAAGGTTGACCTCATCATAGCTACTCAACAGGCAACATGTAAGACTTCACATCTGAAGGCAATAGCTTCTATAACTGGGCTGTGGCTATGGATGATGCCCACTGAAATGGACACTGGCCAGCCCCTGGATGCTGACCTAATACTGTCTTTCTGGCTCCAGTTACTGTATCCCCTCATTCTTTGTCCAACTAACCTCTAAGTCCCTCCTACCTCCTCCTTCTCAGCCTTGGGAACTTACCCTTTATTATCTTGAAGGTAAAATAATGTTCTGTTATCAGTCATATACCATCATGTCATCTATTCTCTCAAAATCTCCTGTATCTGTAGCTGAGCCATCATTTGTAGGTGATTAAGCTCAAAAGCCAACAACTAACAG